GAGGCTTAGCCGCCGTCTCTTCGTCGTTCGCCGCCGTTGGATTGGTTTGAGGGTTGGTTTTTGGGTAGGGTAGGGTAGGGTTGTGTCGGTCGGGCGGTCGGGTAGTGTACAACGAGCGGGCACTCAACCAGCAAATAAATCACAAAAAAACGAAAACAACTGAACAAAGCGTTTGTAGCGGGCAGCACGCAGGACCCTCTTGCTCAGTTCACCCGAACGGCCTTGCCCGCCCATGGTGAGACATACAGGCAACAGTCGCGGCTGACTTGTGTCGGCCACACAAGGTTTAATCTGCCCGAACCAACCCGGTGTGGTGTGACAAAGTGGTTCATACATTCCCTACCGCACGATGCTGGAGCCCCCCACGAGATTTGCACTGTAGGGAGCTGCAGCACTGCTGTGTTTGGCTCGAGATGAGCATTTGAGACAGGGTCGAACAATGCGTGGGGTATGCGAATGAAAGGCCCACCCACACAAGGATATCGTCTGACAGGCAATCGTTGTACATTAAGAACGCAAAACGCTACATGACCCCCTATGGTGGTCATATGACAAGCCCAGTCCCGTAATCTCGACCAAGCAAGTGGCCATGAACAAGCCAGCAACCATTGCAACAACACTATTGGGGAAGAAAAAAATCGTACGAACGCACGCTAGCACGCGATTGACATTGGCTCCCCCCTCCGTCCGTCTCCTGGGGGGCCCGGGTGGTCTGTCCTACTACAAACCCCGAGCTACCTACTCACTTGACGTGAGACACTTACTTGTTTTTCCATGAAGGAATGGCTCCCCTTGTCACTATGGTGAGCGAGTCACGACCACCCCCCCCCGCAAATGTACCCTCTCCACTGACTTTGGCCACACGCAGTTTTTCACGAAGTTGTCATCTTCAGACATCCCCTCAAACCGCAGGTCGACTATAGCTGAAGGCCACGTAATTCGGGCTAGGTCCTCCCTGTAGCTCGCCCCAAATGACATATCCTTGAGGGTCAGAGGCCATGACTGTGGACGAAAAATGGGCTGGGCGTACTTTCGTCCGAAGACAAGCGATTGCAGCCGAGGTGGCAACTGCGCACGGCGAAAATTTCCATTAAACTCGCCCCCAAGCACCAACTTCTGCAGGCTCTGCGGCAAAGTTATACGTTGGAATCCTGGGCCCATTCCCCCCCCTACCTCGAGTTCGAGCAGTGTGGGCGGCCACTGCGTGCGAGAAAGCGACTCACACTCGGCAAAACGATCTCCGAACCTAATTACCTCCAAGGAGCGGGGCCATTCCACAGCATGTACCACCTGGTTGAATGCCAACTTGAACGAGATAACTCTGAAGGCATACGATTTCCATCGAACGTTGTTCAAGGGTCGGTTGAAAGACTCTCCAAACACGACAACCTCGAGCCCGTGAGGGAGGCTCACTCCCCCCATACTCTGGTTCCACCCCCCCCCGAGATCGAGACGTTGAAGCCGAGGAGGCAACACTGCGTCGTCCAGGCTCTGCCGGAACCCTGCACCGGTCTCTAGACTGATCAATCCCTCAGGCCAATCATTGGCGGTCGACATCAACGGCTGGTTAAACCTCATCCCAAACGTCAACTGTTGCAATGATTTTGGCCAAGTCACCCCCGCGATAGGCCTGTTGAACCATCCTCCAAGAAATACGTACTTCACGCAGCCGGGCAGGTCAAGCTGTTCAATGTGTTGGTTGAATTGTCCTTCTGTCATGAGTTCCACCAAATATGAAGGCCAGCGGACCCTGCCAATTGGCCGGTCGAAACTCCCATTCGGGCCGCCTCCCAATGACATCTTCTTCACTGTTTCCGGGAACTCTACGCCCTCAATCGACATGTCAAAGGACCCGTGAAAATTGAGGACAACCAAAGGGTGGGGCAACTTAAGCCCCCCAAACCCTCTCCAACAGGGGCAAGAATGTTGGCCTCGATTGAAACCATTTGACGCCGCGCATGTTTTCTTGTAAATCGTTAAAGTCGCACGTCATGGCATCGTATGCTCTCCACACCATCCTGAGCGCTGACGCGGCAGGGAGTTCACGCACTCTTGCCTCTATTTCGGCTGAGTCTACAGAGTATCTGCCCTGGTATTCATGTCCGAAAACCGTAGTCCGGCACAGTGCATCCACCGAGGTGTTGTCGTTTACGACTACATTCGCAACAGGCGCGCCTCTGGCAACATGGCTGATGGTTGTGGACACGAGGTCTAGCTGCCCGGTCGAGGTGAACCACGATGTTTCTTCCTCGTCGATTTGTAGGAGGGCGACGTGCAGGGCGCGCGCCATGAGACCTTCGCGGATAGTTTCAGGTGTAGGACGACCTGAGCGTGCATCGGGCATGCAGGGTACAAGAGAGCGACATGGTACGCTTAGGGTTGCGACTTTAATGGTGAAACTACATTGTGACGGTCAATGTTTAGCACACCTGCTTGAACGGGCACGGCCAGCGTTCACGTGGTGTTTATGCACGGCCCGGGATAGAGGGTTAAAAGTAAACTCTGCAGGCGACATACGCACGCAGGCTCGGCGCCTATTTTATCGCGGAGCTTCGACAAGGCGGCAAGCATATAATATTTGCGGACGCTTTAGCTGCCAAACAATGAGTTCCAGGAAGAAATGGGGTTAGGCGGGTGTGCGTTGGGCAGGGGTCACCCTATTCTGAATCAGGACAGGGGTATGCGTGAGGGTTTCTTTGAGAAGTTGTAAGCCTGAATGGTTCCACCAACGTTGATAGCATACCTGAGACACACACGTGGTAGGAAAGTAGAAAGCGTACAAGCTCGTGTCGAGCATTCTTTGGGCATAGAAATGGAAAGCGTTCGCCGATAGCATGTTGAGGAAAGGCTGGGCTGTCTGACTTAGGGTTAGGTTCCTGCATGCTGCATTTTCTTCCCGGCGAACTCATGCTCATGGATCCCCTATACAAAAAAATAACTCATGCCTCTCATCCAATAACACTCGCACCTCGACCTGTTTTGAGGCCCTCATGAAGAACATACAAGGCAAGCCTCCTATCTATGTTAAAACAAGTACCTGCTCAACAATGAAACATTTCCATCCACGAGAATGAACACCACCATTACTAAACAACACTAATGTCTTACCTGTAGGCCGAGAGTCAGGACCAGAGTCTGGACCCGAGTCAGTATCCGAGGCAGTAACCGAGTCAGGAACCTAGGCAGGGTCAGATTCAGGACCGGGAACATCCACAGGCCATGAAAGGCATGTCAGTTGCCGGGGGTCGAACACGTCCTCCCCTGGCCAGTCCATGTTCGCCTTTTTCAGCGCGCGAGAGATGAGCTCCCCGGGATAGCCCCTGTTAACGCCACGAAAAGGTTCCTCAATCCGTTTGTCAAGTGTTTGTTGCCACGGTTAAGGAAAGTGGATGGAAACACATTAGAGGTGACGCAGGGCAGATGGACAAGCCTCGTCTTGGCCTGGTATTGTAGAGGTAGCGGTAGCGAAGAACGCGCTCGCAGCTCAAGTGTCCACGCAGGGGTCCTAACCAAACCGCTTGACGCGCGCATATATCCTGCCTGCTGTTACAGTAGTAATCGGAGAGGATGATGAGGAAAATGCCTCACCATGTTTTCCCGACATCCACGGAGCCGCTGACGTTGGACGCCCCGTCGAAAATTCGTGCCATCCAGTAATTCGCCACGTGAGAAGTCCGGAACTCCATCTGGCCCTCAGTTTCGCCAATGCCGTGTTCGGCGAGAAGTTCTTCCAATATCCCTTCCGCCTGTTACGAGTGAAGGCGAGCCCCCCCCCCGCAGAGTAGGATGGGAAAAATTGGTGAGGGATCGTCATCAGTCTCAATATGGGATCCAATCCCTAAGGTCGGGGAAGAGACACAGGCAATCTGGAATAGAAGAGGAGAGGTGACATGGACCAGGGGATGCAGGTACAAATTTAGGACTGGGGTCGTTGTCCTTCGGGCACATAGTCGAGGATATATTGGAAAGTAGATGGTGAAGGCGACAGCTTCACACGTGGGTGCGGCAACTAGTGAAAAGACCGTGTTCGTGGACTCGAGGAATGCTGTTGTACGTAGGGGGGGGTAATGGTCCGCAGGTGACGACTTAAAATCTTGCAGTAGTCTACGCGCGATGCTGTGAAAGGAACGAGACACGCCTTCCAGGCGGCAACGCAACAACCCAGACTGCGTTCATTGACTTTGGGAGGGGAACTATTTTCTGACGGCTACCGACCATGCACCCGCTCCCGCTGGCAGTGTGCTAGTTGCACATGAACGGCGTGGGAACACGAACAACACCTACTTGCCCTTCTCTGCTAGAACGCTGCAAAAAAAGCAGCATTACCTTGCAGTACCGCCAAACGATCGGCACCTCACATGGCTGACACAGACACAAATAAATGCACAGCAGTGGTGGTAGCTTTCACGACAGCACCTGTAGTGCAGGTGCTGCAGGTGCTGTAATGGCAATGGGTAATCTAGGACCTTTATGGTGGCAGTGCATGCAGGCATGCATGCGCTGGCACCGGTTTGTTGCGCAATGAATCCTGGTTTTATTAGGAGTTTTGGTTTTTGGCACTTGTTGACACGGCAGCTATAGATTTTATTCCAGGTGACCCCTGCCCAGGCACAGAAGCATCGGAAAAAACAAAGGGATCCGCGACGAGCTGTGTTCATGCTTCGTTTTGGATGGTGAGATTAACACCGACCCGGGAGCTGTAGTACGCTCAGTAAAGCGGGAGCAAAAGTCCTGAATCTATCTGTGCCCCAGTCTCCTATTTTTCTTGTTTGCGGTTCCTTTGCAACAGCAGTATAGAAGCAAAGACCAATACCGATGCTGATATCCCTTCCAACAGCAACGACGATGTCATTCGTAACAATCTGTGTGTTTGTCTTCCTTCCCTGTCCGGTGCTGTCTTGCCCCTCGAAGCAATAATTGCTGCGTGTTTACCTGAGTGCTTCCTCCGTTTCTCCTGGCTCGAACCGAACAACTGATTTTTGTTGCGCGTGTGCCTGGTGTTGCTGTTTCGTCTGTGAGGTGTCCGTGTATCTCTCGAACAACTCCCAGGAACGACGGCAAAAACTATCCGGATAAATGTCTGTCAAGCACGCGTGAGGTCGTCTCTGATTTCTTCGTGCGAACAAAAATAAAAACAATTACCGTGGTCTCCCACAATCATATCTAGTAAACTACCAACAGCGGCTGGCACTGCTGCATTCGTGCATGGATGGATACCGCTGCTCTATGGTGAGAAATACGATGTCAACCTGTTGTGTGCCGAGCAAAACGTGTATTCAGCGAAGGAAACGTACTCCTCTTCGCGATGACACCACGATTAGAACAAGCGAATATTAATCGGATCTTCTTTTCACCGTTCCGTGAAAAAAACGTTTTTTTTTCGTTGCGTTAACAATACCACCCTATTGTTAACGGTTAACGGTGAAAAGAAGATTTATTATTCCTTAATCCGATTATTTTTCGCTTGGTCTAATCGTGATGTCATCGCGAAAAGTTCGTTTCCTTCCCTGAATACAAGTTTTTCTCGGCACACAACAGGTTGACATGGTATTGCTCACCATAGAGCAGCGGTGAAAGCGCAATAAGCAGCACCCGACACAGAGGACAACACACTTTGAAAGATCCCGTCCACCTGGCCTGCTGTTTCCTGCTGTTTTCAGTTATCAGCAACAACAGGCGCAGGGCAGAGTGTCGCCACCTGGGTGTTGCTTGCGATTTCTCCAGTTTGCCAGCTCATTGTTCACGGTTGCGACTCCCATCTTTGACCACCACCTGACCATGACTGACCATGGTTGACCATGGTTAACCACCATGGTTAACCACCTTGGTTAACCATGGCTGACCATGGCTAACCATGGACATTGTGCATGGTCAGCCATGGCTGACCATAGTTCATGGTCAACCATGGTTTTCCATCAACCATGAATGACCATGGTCAGCCATGGTCAGACATGATTAACCATGGCTAACCATGGTTGACCATGGTTGACCACCATGGTTAACCATGGTGAATGTGACCATGGTTAACCATGGTTAACTATGGTGGTTAACCATGGTTAACCATGGTGAAAATGCCGATGATGTACATGACTGCTGGAAACTGTCACTTTGTACGGCTGTTCTTACAGCCGTCGAACAATAAAAATAAGTAAGCCGCTTTCTTCGTGTGTGGTCGTCACCGTTTCTCTTGTGCGTGCGGTGACCTACCGCTCCGCATTTGCGTCCCTACGCAATACACTACCCTACCCCGGTGTGTGCCGTTTTATAACTTATGAGGACTCTGCCGAACTGTGGGCGCGTACGCTTGCTGGGTGGGTGCATTTGATCCTCTGATGTGTGGTGTGGTTTTCCTCTTTCTACGCTGCCTACATGCACGGACCCTGCTGGAAAACTGGAAAATGGAACTTGTCGTGGTTACGCATTCCAGCCTCGAAATCACCCGAATACACGCTCTGTTTGGTACACCGGTGCCTGCTGTCATACCTACCCACCGAACCTCATGCCCTGAGGAATCCATCTACTAGACATACATGTGGAGTCGAACCCGGTGTTTGGATGTGGGATACTTCCATCCTACGCCGCGCTACCAACAGACAACCAAAAATCATTTTGGGTCTCGGGCTGTGTCCCGCTGACTATAGTCACGAAAAAAAGCGAGACTCCGCCCACTCCGTGCATCGCCAGCTATACTACGCAAGGCAGTGTGACATCAAGTGGAAATAGTTAATTGCCCTACTTCCCTATACTCCGAAATTTGACATTTTCATGTGGGAAATCCACACAACAAAACGGTTACCCCCACCAGCCGTACAGATAAACTACGTTGATACAAATGAGTATGGTTCTTCTCATGAACACCCATCATTTGTGCATCATAAGCAACAACCACATCGACGCGGTCGCCCACGGCACAGTTGTCAACTACAAAAATAACCCCCTGCTGGCATCGGCCGTCGTTCTGTCACGCACCCCCGAGGTCGCCCTGGACGTTTGGCCCAACATAATGCGTGGAAACCACGTGCGTGCCTGCCGACCACATCTATTTTTTGAAATCGCGACATTCAGATGTCGGACATGTTGCACCGTGCAGCAACCGAGCACACTGAATATATTGTACCATAAACGGACACAACATTTTGCGAGTCGACCACTGCTGTCGACCGAATCCCCATGTACCTACTACGAGCTGGCAGTTAGTTGCGAGAGCCCCTCCGACCCCTTATCTCCATGAACTGAGTCCTCATCTACGACGATCTCCCACGGACACATGCGCGTACTCCATGCCCGCACCCACCCGACAAACACAACAACAGAAATAATATGAAAAACAAGAAAAACGTTTTTTGTTTTTTTCCATGCCCCCGTAAAACCATCAACGACTCGGAATGGTCTCAGCCTGGGTTTATATTTGTGTTCCGCTCAGAGCACTACGCTCACAGCCGCGATCTCTATTGCGCGGTGCTCCCATCAATCTTTCGAGGCGAATGTCATCTTGGTGTGTGTGTACGAATGAATGCGTGCGGGACGAGAGAGGTAAGCTCTCGGTCGGTTTTTCTCTTCCCCGGGCCCGCTCAAGCTGACACTGAAAAAAATGAAATGCTCCGCAACTCACCAGTCAGCTGCTGTTATTGTAAGAACAACATTATTAACTGTAACTACGGCTGGCTGTGGTGGTACGCGGCATCCCTGTGCGACCAAATTTACTGCACATGGGTTGCATTAACCTCCCCCACTGAAGGGATCGTTTGTGTCAGCCAGAGACGCAGGCTCGGCGGGAGAAAGGGTGAGTATAATAGACACAGCAACGCGCTCTGTGTGGGTTCTGACTGCTTCATTTGTTTGCCTGCAATAATACCATGTTTGACCCAACGTTTCTAACATCGCCTCCCCATGGACCGGCGTTTTCATAGGAATGGCTGCATACCCTCTAAAAATAAAACTATGATAAAAATAACACAAAGAAGCAAGCAACGTAGACAAACAGAGCGAGCTGGAGGAAGCAAGCCAGCGAGAGTTGGGGCAGCACTAAATTATACTATGTGGGTTTTTTTTTTTTTGTTTAGGGTATTTTTATTATTTTCCTGGTCTTGGCACAAGGGCATGTAACTTAATATAAAAACTACTTCTAAGTAAATAACAACAAATAACCAAGAGTTACACGGAGAACATCACCCCTCCTCATAATGCTGTACGAAAAATATCACCCCTCCTCACAACAGGTTTGTGTATGGAGAATACCACACATTTACATAATCACGAGCTATGGAGCTACACGAAGAAAAACATCCCACACAATCCCGACCTACACGGAAAACACCACGCTCTCACGAGCAATACCGGGAAACAATAAAATAAACTAAACTAACCCGTGAACCTGTCAAGCTCCACCGTGCCGCCACAAAGCCTCACGAACAACATTACCCTGTGTGGGGGCATACAGGGGCAAATGGAATGGGGTCTCACAGGCTATCCTCAACCAACCCCGTACACATTGTACAGCGACGACATATACCAATCACGCAGGCGACACCTTCCCAACTGCACATGACCAACCCCCCGCACCATCGTACTACAAGTGGGACTATCCGGTAATAAACGTGGATCCAACTACGCGTGAAGTAGAATATCGATGGGAGAGGCTTTAAGGAGGGGGTGTGGGCAGACTAGTGCATGCATTGGTTTGGGT